ACTACTACTACTACTACTACTTGACTCCACTGCTTCAGGTGCTGCTGCGGCTCGACTGTTACTGCTGCTACTACTGCTCGACTTTCGGGACCGCTGTAACAACGTCTTGGCCTTTTCTGAAATCGGGCGTGATCAGTAGATGATGTTTTGCTTTCATCGTGTCATAGCTGAGGGCATTGCCAGTAAAATCCTGGGCTATGCTTGTTAAGCTCCCGCTTCTGCGATTGGCTCTCATGTTCCAGCGTGTTCCAGCTACATCTTTCCTTTGATCGCATATCAGCACAAACTGTGATCACAGCCATCCTTACTTTCTTCGTATGATGATGGCTACGAGCAGGTTAAGCCGGCAACCCGCAGCCCGAACCATGTAACGACCCAAAGCGGTAGGAGAAGCTTCCATGTCCGAGGCTCATTGGTTCCTGGCCGTCAACACGCGAGCATCCGCAGTTTCCGCTGCAGTTGCATTCTTCATACCCATGGTGGGCATCGTGTGCTTAGACTGCAATCAGACTTTGAGGGGGTATATGAAATCGACACACGAAACTTCATGCACTTGTCAAACCAAAGCTTCTTGCGATTATCCAGATGTAGAATGCTAAGGCAAAAGATCGCATATCACCTGGAACTGAAGAAGGAGGCCAGCACCTGCCCTGCTTCGGTGAAGCTTCTACGTAAGTGTTCTCAGTTCGTTCTTACAGTACTCCTGATCCGAGACTATGCGCGGCTCAATTTGGTGTGATGTTGCCGTGTTCGGCAGATCTTGTTCCCCTTGCTTGCACAAGGAAGTGAGCACTTTGAGGCACCTTTGGAGTTGTACCAAGTAGGCCCTAGACTCCATGCCCCTGCGTTTAGGCAAAGCTGCTTTTTCCTCTTGCTTGCGCCAAGCCTGGTGCGGAAAGCATCTTAGTGTTTATTGTATTAGTATTATACTATACCATGTTATATCTCATTATATAATTTCATCTGATTATATTGTATTATAATACTATACCATGTTATATCACATTATATACTTTCATCTGATCACATGATAACATAATATTAATATTAGTCTTAGGCAGCGACAGGTCGCCTGGGTGGATGCCTGGGCTCTCCAAATCTCCACGGCCTTCGTCTTCCTCGTGCTTAGTGTCTAGGTTCCTGACTAGAACTCTTTTGCCCTTTCTAGTGCATTAACTCCCTTATTATGAGGGGGTCACTCAGGAACCTAGGTGTGCAGGCTGCGAGAGTGCTCAGCCGCAGCCTGCCAACAGCCAGCAACCCAGCCGCTGGCCTCGCCCTTGCGTGTGTGCGGGCATGGATCGTTGGAGCAGCCAGTGCCGCGATGCTAGACTTGTCAGTTCATCCGGGCTTCCCAGAGACTCCAAAACCCCTTAATTAAGGAATATACTTTAAATTATAATAGGAACCCTAGTAAGATTTAAGGTATATTCCTTAATTAGGGGGTTTTGGAGTCTCTGGGTTGGTCCTAAACCCTAAACCCCAAACCCTTAGCTCCCTCAGAGCCGAAGCCCGAATCGCCTAAACGCTGAACCCTAAGCTTGCAGGACTCCCACAAGCTCCTAGGGCTCAGAACTCTAAGCCCTAACCCTAAACCCTAAACCCTAAACCCTAAACCCTAAACCCTAAACCCTAACCTCCCAGACTCCGATCCCCCAAACCCCCGTATTTTAGAAGCCTCAAGAATCTCGTACCTTATTATTCCATAGGGGTTCCTTCTGATATCTATATCTTAGAGGAGCCCAAAGCCCTATTCTTATGATTCAGGCTCCTACAGTAACATGGCCTAAATAATTACCTATACGACTTTGGGGGTTCCTTATTATGATTATAGTATAGTGGGCCGCAAACCCCTATTCTAATTTTCCTTATTATGATTATAGTATAGTGGGCCCCAAAACCCTGTTCTAATTATTATAAGGCCCCGAAGCCTCTAGCCGCTGCGGGCGCTCAACCCGAGGATCTACGGGGCGATTCTCTTGGCCGTGGGAGCACCCGGGCCGATGAGCCCTGGCTTGCTGCTTGTCTTATCCTAGGTGGGGGTTTCCGAAAATAGGGGACCCTAATATAGTACCCTAAATAGTAGGATCCTAAAATAACCCTAAATAGTAGGATCCTTCTTATAAGGACCCCAGGATAAGGTACCCCTCATTTTGGGAAACTCCCAGGTAGAATTGGGGAGACTTTTGGGGCTTGGGTTAGGGTTTAAGGTTTAGGGGTTTAGGGTTTAGGGGAGACCCCTTAAAGGGGACCCTTCTTTTAACCCTACTGGTGGCTCTCTTAAAAGGGACCTTATTGAGAGGGTCTATGTCCCCCAGGGTCCCCCGAAACCTAAGTCCCATCTTGGGGTTTAGGGGGCATACTAGCGCCAAGAAAAGATGGCGATTTAGGGCGGAGGGCCTGGGTATTTTGGGGATTGGTTTAGACATGAGGGATAAGGCTTGTTAGGCTTTCAGGGTTTTCAGGGTTACGGGCTTTCCAGCTTGAGGGTTCAGGGCTCAGTGTTCATGATCAGAATAGGGTTCCTGGGCCCATCATACTATAATTATTATGTCCCAAGTCCTCATGCAAGGGTTGCCACTATGCTGTTTCACGCCTGCGTTGTGCCGTGAGCAGGTTTTAGGATTCAATCAATTCGATCCTCGCAGTGTCGTATCTGAGCGACGATGTGTAGGGTTGAAGGCTTAGTAGGGGAGGGCGGCTGAAAGCTTAGGGGTGCTCTTTGGTTTGGGAGTGGGCCAAGAGCAGTTGTGGAGTCCGGCCTGGTGACTTCTGGTGCAGGTTGGGCGGCGCTGTGGGCAGCTGCCTTGCGGCTGGTGTCGCTGCGGGCTCCCTTGCTCTCGCCTACTTCGTGGCTCAGGACTTTGGCCGCTGAGATCTCTACAACCGTTCTGCAAAGTTACTTTCCGCCTGAACTTGCATGTTCTCTTACTTGCTGCGACGGGCCCGCAGCAACATTAAAGTGTGAATCTGTAAGCCTTGACTTTGCGAGTGGGCAGCCAGGGCAGGGAAAACTAACTGGGTTGCAAAGGCATCGTTGGTGTAGGATTGAGGGTTTAGTGCACCTACCTCTTCGTACCTCGCTGAATCCCCGAAACATGTTCTCACCACACCCATAATGAACGAAACCCTTCAAACTTGCAACCCGACTAGACAGAGCCCGAAAATCCCAAAGCTCATCTTTAGCCAAAGTGCTACTTCATCATGCCACTTACCTCGCCAGGGTTGTTCCAGCTGTGAGCGCTGAAACCCTCACCCGGTTTGGGGTTTAGGGTTTATAGAGGCATATTCATAGTCCAGTTGCAAAGACTTAGTTAGTTCCCCAATGCCCAACCTTCAAACTTGTTGGGTTCTTATAATTTAGTAGTAGTCTGAAAGTTTAACCTTTCATTTCCCTGGCTTATGGGGGAAGTAAGAAGAAGGGTTAAACCCAAACACTAAACCCTTATAGAACCCTAAGCTATAGAACCCTAACCCCCAATTCCTAAACCCTAAACCCTAAACCCTTATAGCACCCCTACTTCCTTTATAGAGGACTGGCTGACCCGGCTCTACCTGCGCGCTGGTCAGCTCTTCTGGCTCCGGGCAAAAGATCAGACCTCCCAGCCCTTCAAGCTCCAGAGGCTGCTCGGCCCGCGGCGAAATCCTGCACCCCTAACCCTTTTAGGATCTTTTAATAACTAGTACTTACCCTAAACCCTAAACCCCGAAGGTTGTTTTAGTATTTAATGCATCCTGTTATCATCCCAGTATAACTCCGGCCCTAAGCTCAGGATCTTTTCGAGCTTCTGGAGTGTCGGGTGAGATGTGTACCTTGCATTTAATGTCATGGTCTTTTATTTCAATGTCAATGTTTCAGGATTCCAGGTTCGCACGCCTAAGGCTCCATCTCTTCGTCGGTCGGTGCTTCTGCGCATGCTTTCGAGCTTATAGGACTACCTTAAGCGGGTTGGGGTCTATAGTGGGTCCCTAAACCCAAAACCCTACAGTGGCGATTGGTGAGGGGCCTGGGGTCTCTGCGCGTTTGATGGTCCAGGTTCGAGGGCCGGCATGCACTGCTCACGCCACTCAAGTCCGGCGAGGAGCTGAAGGTCCACGAGTGGGTTTAAGGTTTAGGCTTCTTGCTTGCTTTGGCGAGTTGGTTTGTAAACTCTGCAGATGCTTAGATACTTGGTCTTGGGTTTCTGCCAGCCGAAGCATGCCAAGCATGAGGGCTTCTGCGCGCTAGCGATAGGAGCTTCGTGCGAGCTGCGCAACATCGGTCGAATCATGAGTGGCTCTCGTGATCGCTAATGCGCAGCCAAGCTGCCACGGCCGTAGTGATACTGTGAGCTGCAGGTCGCACCGCAGGATAGCCTTACGAACAATGCAGCACCTCTCTCGAGCAAACCCTATGTCAACTCTTCGTGAAGTGTCGGCAGCCGAGTCGGTGGTTTGCCTGAAGTGGGCCGATAGGAAGTATTCCGCTGCCGCCGGGCTGCTGATTTGCAAGCTTCCTTCTGACCCAGAAAACTTTCGCACGCCGAACACATGCACTGGAGAGGGAACTGGACCTACTCAAACCGATCTACGTACCCATTTGCCTGCCTGTTTACTGATCTCATCCATCTACTTATTCCCATCCTTTCGATATCCACGGTTTGTTTATCTACCACTCGCACAAGCTGTTTGTCGTTCTGCCTGCTTGTCCATGTATCCGACTACCTGTGTTTGCATGGCTATCGCCCCCCTCCGTCTTTCTTGTATCCCTTGCTGCCCGTGTGTTTCTCTTTGCGCTCAGCCTGAACAGCATGCAGCAGTACACGGCAGGTACCAGCTTCTCAGCTTGGCGGCTCCCAACGCGGGACTCTGCGCCCTGTGCGAATTGCTATCCCTATCGGAGAGGTTACGAAGGCCGACCTGATCGCAGGTCATGTTCGCGGCTGGGCCAAGAAAGCAAGTCGTGTACACGTCAGGCAAGTTTCTTGGTAATTAGTTTGGTAAGACAGGCGCGCTCCATTCGCCGTCGGGCTTGCTATAGCGCTAATTGACAACGCCTTACCAAGGACTTTGGCGGCCTTGTTTGTAGGGTAGTTGGGGTTCCCGCAGGTCACGCATGGCAAGTGCTCGTGTCTGCCCTTCCGGGCAAGCGCGAATACATTGGCCTGGTCCAAAGTTTGCCCATGGGCTTATCCTTTCCCCCAACCGAATCGTCAGAGACATGTCTGTCCTCCAAATCGGTCAGATCCACTGTTGTGCGTTCGATGCTTCGAGACAGAAGTCTTCAATGCTCAGGAAGTGCCCTCAAGCAGCAGGATGGTCTTCTCCATCAGCAGTCTTTGCAGCCAAAGGTTTGCGCTGCCCAGCTGCATTCTTGATGGTAAAGCGGCTGCCGTGACTTAGGCGTCCTCCAGAGCAAGTACATGAAAGCTCTATTGCGGTCCGGAGGGGATGACTCAGGGAGAACAGAAACCCTGTGCCTTAGATCCAAAAGTCCCTCCACGCAGGTCGCAGAGGATGGTCGGGTCGTTTGCGTGGATGCCTTCCTGGAAGGAAGTGCGCCGTTGGACAAGGCAAGCTCGGTGGGAAAGAACTTGGGTGGGTTTGGGTTGAGGGCTATTAAGAATCCGATGGAGGCATCATTCTGCAGCACGGCGTGCTACATGATGAAGTCCTGGGAGCATATCGCAGACAAGTATAACAGCTTAAACCTGAAAGTCAATTTTACCAGGTATCCTCAGAGCCTGGCCCTTTATCATGCGAGTCAAGCAGTCTAGGTTATAAACGCATAGTTGGTTCCAGCAGCAAAACTGAAGATCGCAATCCTGGACCTCAAAACCATTTTTCCAGCGGTCAGCATTCCATCCAAACAAACCAGCGAGTGATCGCCGAGAACAGTGGGCCCTGCTGCATAAAGTGTCGGAGCAATCTCGCATGTACCGGCAGCACGCCTTTCGGAGCAGGCTTGGCAAATACGATCATCGCTTCTGCTTGCAGTGTCTTTGATGCACAGAGTCTATCGGTGTAAGGAGTGGTGTGTTGAGCTCAGATGAACCATGCGCAGCTGGATCCTAGCAGCATGCGGTTGTGATTCTATGAGTTCCTGCCTAAACCCAAATGGGGGTTTCCGAAAATAGGGGACCCCAATATAGTACCCTAAATAGTAGGATCCTTATTATAAGGACCCCCAAATAAGGGGTACCCCTTATTTTCGGAAGCTCCCAAATCCCCTAAGTTTCTAAACCTGCATCCCTGTTACCGGACTTGTCTTGAAGCCTTGCCTGCCTCGCGCGGGCGCTGTGCCCACAACCTTACCACAGCCCATATCTAGGTATGGCAAACAAAGGTTCCTCTGTTCGGCAGTCGTCGAAGGAGTTCTTTAATTTAAATACTTTTAACTTCCACCCCGGCCCGAAACCCTGAATCATGAGCTGGATTCAGGAGCCAAGGGTTACCCTATGAACCCTAAGTGCAAAACCCTGTGTCCTATCAGAGCTTAACCAACCCACGAATATTCGTACACTCTAGCATATTTGTCGAGGCTGCAGAGGCGGCGTGCTGAGCATCGGGCATTTGGGGATTCATTTCAATATTTTTTTGGCAAAATATGAGGGCATTATAACTCAGCGCTTTAGACCAGCGTCCCTTCTATCGAAATATATCAAGAAATAATCAAAATACGAACCAAAGAATTAATTTTTTCTACAGATAAAAATCTTGCTTGAACTAAATAAGAAAATATTTTTTATTTCTTATATGATGATTATTAATTTCAGAATTCATAGGTTTCAAAAAATGATATAAATTAATATCAGGTTTTCAAGAATAAATACCTAATTAGAGAATAAAAAATCTATATTTAAATTGAAATTTGATTCTAAAAACATAATCTTAATTTAAATTGTTGTTTCTGCTGTTGTTTCGGTTCTATCTGACTCTGGGAGTCGGATATTGCGACGCGCCTTGCCGGGGACTGGCCGGATTCATTTCTGAATACTACGAGGCGCTTCTCGGGAGATTAGCCGGATTTATTTCTTTTTTTTATTTCAATTTAAATTGTTATCTCTATTATTATCTCCGCTCTATTTGAATTTAGAAATTAGATTTTTTATTATGTCTCGCCGGGGACTAATCGGATTTATTTTTCTTTATAATTTTAATTTAAATTGTTATCTCCGTTCTATCTGAATCTACGAATTAGATATTACGATACGCTTCGCCGGGCACTAGCCGGATTTATCTCTCTCTTCATAATCTTAATTTAAATTATTGTCTCCAATAGTATCTCTACTCTATCTGAATCTGGTTATGACACGCCTCGCCGGGGAATTGATTCGGTCTTAAACTCTTAACCCTGAATCTTAACCTTAAATTCTAAAGTGTTGTCTCCGTCCTATTCAAAGTGATGTCGTTTCGAGCTTGTTATCTTCGTCGAAATTCTCGCAATATCTTGATTGATTTATTGCTATTTGGGGGTCTTCGCTGGTATAATTAATAATAGAAAGATATAATTATAATATAGATTAATTTTTATAATAAAAATATAATCTCTGGATCATCTAGAGATCTGATATATATCTTCTCTAGGTATTTAGTTGTTTCATTCTTAGAGATAAGATGAAAAAAAGA